TGAGTGTCGGTCCCGGAGCTCATCCAACGCCGCATTAGTGGCCTGTCGTGTAGTGGCGATCACATGTGTGAGCCCGCCATCGGTGCCGGTGTTGACCAACAGTTGTTGCACTAATTCCAGACCAATGCCACGATTGGCGCCCGTTATTAACACCGACTCTGTGTTCATATTTAATTATAAATAAAATATTTGACTATTTATTATCAATTTGAATTGCTAAAATGATGTGTTTTTATGATATATTATTTTTATTTATATATTCAAAGTTAAATTCTTATCTACATTAAAGTGCATAAGCACTAAACATAATGTTAGTTAATTACAATGTACTTGTACTAGCATCAATTAAGTTTCTAAGATAATTAACTTAAACTTTAAAATATGTATAAGTTTTGAATGTCAATTTTGTATATATAATAAGTAACTTGTTTGATCAACATTTGCAGAATTGTGTATATTAATTATTGTATTAACTTCTTATGGCGTGGTCTTGAGATACAAGATGGCCGATAAGGAATAATGTTGTGCCGACTCTTATACGGTGCGCTGTCTGGTCGATGGCGCCGTTAGAGGGGCAGTGCTGTCGTGGAGAGGGTTAAGGAGTATATCTCCGTTCAAAAGGACATTTGAATGGAGATGTCGTTCACATAAGTGGCGGTCGGAACCCGTGGTGTGCGACGTGTGATGAGTTCTGTATGAAAGCGGACACAATTTCCCAGCTTTTACCGAAGCAGAGGATTTGTCTTAGCTTTTCCAAAAGCAGATACAAATGGCCAGCTTTTACGAAAGCAGAGGATTTGTTGTAGCTTTTGATTGCAATTATTAAATTAGTTTATTTAGCACAAAATAAATGATAAAACTTGTATGAAATACAATTAAGACAATTGAGTAAATTGTGGTTAAAATGGGATAAAAAACAGTGGTCGAAGTGTACGACCGGTTACTGTGAGAACAATGGATAAATGGCTGACACTCTGATCGAGTGGAGTCTGTGTTGCGACCGAACAGTGCGACAAACAGAGAGAGACTGAAGAGCACATGGAATGTGTGGCTCTTAAATACAGGTGAGTGTTGGGCTCAAGTTTGGGGAAACCGTTGGAAACCCAATGCTATGATTGGTTTAGGATAAGACATACAATTCAAAAAACTTAGGGAAAATTACAGAATTACATCAAATAGAAAGTTTAGGACACATGTCGTGTCA